AGCAACCAAACGCAGCTTTAGAAAAAAAGAGGATGAAATGAAAGCACACCGAAACTTAGATAAATGAAAACTTAGACATACTTCCAGTATTCAAAACAGCTAAAACCGACATCACCGACGCCGTTGATTCAACCTCGACGCGTCAGATCTGCGAGATTCCAACAAACCAACGGCGAAATCACACTCCAAATTCAGCATAAGAGCTAAACACGAAGCAGCACTACAAGCGAAACCCGTTCGCAACAGCCAAAGAAGGAGGACACAGGACCGGAGATAGCGTCGCCAAAACCAGAACTGGCAAACGACTAGGAATCAAAATCGCCATCACTTAGCTCCACCCAGAGAACTTGAGCTTGAAGAAAAAGAAGAAGAAGAAGCCGAACTCCGACCGGAAAGAGCTTCGTAGGTCGACTGTCGGCCGGACTCTGGAGACGTTGATGGCTTTACTTTACTTCTTCTCTGTACTGGAGAAGCTTTTGGTTTTAGGTGTTTTTTTTTTTCTTTTTCTTTTTCCTTCTATTTTCGTTTTACGTATATTTCTTTTCTTTTCTTTTCTTTTCTTTTATGTGGATTTTGTATCGTTCGTTTTTATTTTATTCTGCTGCTCCAATATTTTATGTCTAACGCGCGCCGTTAACGGAAAAAAACAAATTAACGGTAAAATAGGTCCGGGAGTGTGTCAGGCGGCAAAGGAATATATTTGGCGGTTTTCGTTCTATGTAAAGTCAAAATATCAGTCGGGTAATAATTTAAGGATGGTTAATAGTTGTAATTGTTTTACGAATGATTAATAATTGATAAAGTAATTAATATATGTGATGGGAGATTTATTTGTATAAAAATTTAATATATTATTTTTTTATTTTTAATTAAAAATTTATGAATAAGTTATGTATTTATATATTACTTTTAACAAATTTTAAAGAGGAAGGATGCGTTTGGGGTGTATGTAAAGTATTGTGGTTATGTTTAGTTGTAATTGTATTTAGTTATAGTTATATTGTATTATAATTGTAATTGAAAATTATTTTG